TTCCAACTTTAGTGTTCTTTATGAATTTGAAAAATTCTTTGAGTGAAACTTTAAAATTAGATAAATTGGTGTATGTATTTGTTAACTAACCTTGGTTTCCCGAGTGTATATTAAGTAGGTAAATGTTTCAAGTTTTAATAATTCTTATGTGGAAATGTGTCAAGGTATGTTGTTGAATTTCTCTATATCTACGAATTATTAGTGTTAATTTCATATGAATAAAGAATCAACTAGTGTCAATGATAAAGAAATAAAAAAAATTCAAATGTATTTAGTAGATGTGGGAATTTTCGAGAAATCTACTAAATGAAAGATGGGTCTATAAATAAACTAAAATTAATTTTAGAAGCACTATTCGTTCCACATGTGAACTCGTATGGTCAAAATATTGTAGGAGTGTATAGACCATGAATTTAAGACAACTTTAATTGAGATCCACACCTAATCATGTTTAGCAACCTAGTTACATAGCCCGGTCTGGTCTAAAGAAGTATACATCACATATTAAGGAAAACTTTAAAGGCACAGTTAGCAAAATCTTAAGAGGCAAACTCTTAAAAAAATGTTGCTGTTAGTCACCGATTCATTAGTTCTTGTTTGGTAACAAAAGCATCTTGAATAAAAACTAAAACAAATTTTACAATCACCATACGTTCATTGACATTGACTAAATATAAACACAGTTAAATTTTATCTTTCATATTGACTAGTATTATGATACAATAACTTGGCTTCCAATTCTATCATTCAACATTTTTTAGATGTAAGTTGAATAAGTATACACTTTCTTATCAAATTCACAGTATAGTATTACAAATATACCACCAACATCAATTGTTACATTATTAAACAGCCCACTCATATTAATTACTACGCTTTAATATGTCACTTATGTACGTACCCAAAAGAATGGGTCTTTTTTTTATGCCAACAACTACCAAATGGAATCAGAGTTGGTCTCCTTTATACGGATTTGATCAATTCACTTCGCTATGATTTAACTATACGACTTTTCAATTTTTCATTTATTTTTATCGATAAGGATAATTTTAAAATCTTATTCG